TGCACTCATTTTCGAATCACCTGCTATAAACCAACCTTCTTTTTCTTTTATTTTCAGCTTTTCTTCCCTAGGGAAATTTATGTTGGTTCCAGGCATCTGCCAACCTACTCCCTTAAGACCAGCAAGCAAAAAATTCATTTGCTTTGCCCAACTTTCCCCCATCATCAATAAATTATTCTTATTTGCTCTTAAAGATGCTTCTGTCTCTTCCGCTTATTCCTTATGCTCTCCCTGCAAAATGGGATGCCTTTTGGTGCAATTTCTCTTTCAAGCTCTCCTCCTGCTTTCCTAATTTTTCAACCTGCTTTGCCCTCGCTCGGTAATCAGACGCTGTTCTTCAGCGGCTGCAGCTTTGCACCTCCAGTCATCGCTTGTCAACTTTGATTATGCTCTGGAAGCCCTAATTCATCCATATCAACTGTCTACATTTTAAAATGACTTATTAGAGAGGAAATCAGAAACCCTGGCGATCTGTAGTATGGCAAATACTGCTTCCATTGGCTCTGTAGGAACGGCTCTCTCCGTGCCCACTATTTCTACCTGGTCTGCAGCCTCTACCTAAATCAGAAACAGGGCAGGAGGGAAGGCTAGCAAGGAAACAGTTACCTCTTTTCAGGCTATCTGGAAGAGATGCCCCACTGGTTTAAGCTTGCTATCATCCAAAACACATTTTTGTTTTGTTTTGTTTTTCCCTTCAGGCATAGAAACAATAAAGTTCTTTTTTTTAACCCTCAACAAAACCCTACCAGCATTATGCCCTAGCAGATGCAATGTCCCTGTTAGTTGCAGTGCCACAGAAGACAATTCCTTCTTCTTCTTCTCTCCCCCCCCCCCTTTTTTTTTAAAGGAAAATATATAAAAGACCTGGTGGAACATATTTAAAAGATTTAAAACCATCTTAATCCATTATTCAGATACAGATTCTAGAAGAGATCTAAAAGGCAGGAAGAAACTAACAACATTTGTGGCAGGAAAAACTCATGTTAGAAACACGAATTTTCTGTTAAAGGGAGCTGGGCCCTGGCTTACGGATACAAGAGGGACTTCAGACAGCAGGGAGCAGTGCTGACTGCTCTCGCTCATCTACAGTGCCTGCCTGTGCATGGCACTTCCTACTCCTCCAAGCACACCTATTATCTCCGGGATGTTTACAAACCTCTTGTGAGGTATTATTCCACTTTGCATATGGGAAAACTGAGATTCAGAGGGTAAGGTAACCAGCTCCTAGCCACAGAATTCTTCAAAGCTGGGTCAGATTTATAGCACAGGCTCCCTGATTCTTTGTTCTGTGCTCTACTGCACCCGTGTGTACACACATGTGCCCACCCACAGCCTCACATACAAAACTAATGACTTTGTCATGCAAATATCCCAGGATAAAAATTAGGGAAAGGCCCAAATGGTCTCCTGTTACCAATTTACTCTAGTCCTGCTCTTACTCCAGACTTCTCATTTCTTTTATTCTTCTATTTTAAAATCCCCACCCGAGAATATGTTTTTAATTGATTTTTTTTTTTAAGAGAGAGAAAGGGAGAAAGAAACATCCATGTGAGAGAGAAACATCAGTGGGTTGCCTACCGTAAGCACCCCAACCAGGGATTGAACCCACAACCTAGGTACGTGCCCTGACTGTGAATGGAACCCACTACCTTTTTGGTGTACAGGTTGGTGCTCTAACCACCTGAACCACCCGGCCAGGCCATCTTTTACTGTCAGAATCTTCACCACGCTCTGGAGTTACTTCCTCTTGTATGCTTATGCAAAAAACACCAAGCCGCTGCCCCTCCACCCCCTCCAAATCTCCCACTTCAAAAATCCTAAAAGCCTAGCCACACATCAAAGCTAATGAGTGGGCAATCCACAGATTCTCCCTGGTGGATGCTCCAAGGATGCTGATTTTCATCAATAGCACAGAGCATGTTTTGCAGACTGGTTTCTTTGAATGTGAAGGACATCTTCTTAAACTCAAGGTGTTTTCAGGGAAGGCTGGTTTGTGAAAGGTTTCCCTCTAGTAAATGTACTTCCTGGGTTCTCCTTCAATATACAGCCTGGTCAAGTCCAGAGCACAGCCCCGGCACTCCAACCTCTAGAGACCAGATGGCTGATCCTTCTGATCTTTGGCACAAGACTCAAAATTCTAACGAGCGCACATGAATACGACGGGCCTGAATTTTGAGACCTTGCTGCAGGAAGCAGAGCATCCGCATGTTCGAGGCAGTTTGCCCCACGCTAGGGTTACCGGAGTCCTTCGGTAAAAGCACAGAGGACTCTGTGGAGAGCCTGGCTGAATCACACTGCTTCCGGGCTAAAGAAGGGCAGACAAAGTAGAAGAGATATATCCTCTCCCCAAAACAAGAGTCTTCTGCACAAATAGGAAGTCAGGAGAGGACCCTCCATCACAGATAGAAGGCCCATTAGGACCGTAGTTTAAATATTCAGACCTACACATCCTGCTGTGGAAGGAGTGGGTCCTGGCAAAATGTAAAAGGCTAATAACCGGACAGAGGGTAAGAGGGTGCATGGCATGATGTGTACGTGGCCCCCGGAGGCAGCCATGCTTGCAGCTTCTCCTGCACACCCGCCGTCCCCGGCTGCACGGGAATCTGCAGGAGTGGGGGTTGCAACTGAGAGACGTGTTTCTTCCCCTGCCCACTTTTTTCCTGTGCCCCCTGAGATCCAGACACTAGACCTCATCTTTGACAGACACAGGCAACTTATGAAACCTCGGGGCAACGTTTTGGCAGGTAAAATGAGTCTGAAAGCTTCCATGTCAGTGTGTTTTGAAAGCGATTTCTCATTAACAGCCTTACAAAGCAGATTGGCATTTAAACACTCAGGACCACCTCCATTCTAAAATACACTATGTACACAATACAAAGAATTCCAACCTAGAAGGCTGTGCATGAGGTGGGGTGGAGTGAGGTGGGAGAGAAAGTCTTGAGGGAGCAAACACCTGTAAGGAACACTGGAGACGTTTCAAGTAGATCAGTAAGGAGCTATTTAAGGATTTGCTGGCAACCCTTCAATAGTGTTTCGTTTTGAACAGCAAATGTCACCATGAGTGCTTTTGGCCCCAAAAGACACTGTTTTTAAACAGGCCACCTTCTGAGAAGTTGAGACTATGGCATCTACGAGCACAACTTAAAATATACCAAGCAAAAGAGAAATAAATTTAAGGCTTGATCAGTAAGTACAACTGTGTGTGTGTAGGGGCGGGGGGGATATTTTGCTTTGTTTTGTGTTGTTAGTGAAGGCTGTGAATTTTAGAGCAGGAAGAGGGGACCTCAGGGAGAGCTGCCCTCCACACTTGGGCTTTTACAGAAGAAACTGGATCGTTTCCTTGAGAAGAGTGTTATAACACACTGAGATCTCACCTCTGTGGAGTGTGATTCCAGCCCCCAAGAAGGCTCCACAGAGAAAGCTCTAAGAAAATGGTCTGCGCTCACAATGCTGTCTGGGCTATTGTTGCACGGCTTTGTAATCAGAAAGGAAGGCTGATTCAGTGTGTGCCAAGCACAAGTACTAAAGAAGACCTTGGAGATTATCTCGTCCAACTTCCTCATTTTACAGAAGATAAAAAGACGACCCAGAAAAGCAAAAACAACCAGGCCAGAGTTCCACACCAGGTGAGACTGGGTCTCTAACAGCAGCACTACTGACATATTTGGGGGCCAGATACTTCTTTGTTGTAGGGGGCAGTCTGCACATTGTAGGGTATTTAGCAGTATCCTAGTCTATAGCAATCCCCTCGCCCAATTATGACAATCAAAAGTGTCTCAAAACACGGCCAAATATCCTCAGGGAGCGGAGGGGAGGGCAAAATTATCCCCAATTGAGAGCCACTGGGTTAGCAACTGGTACAGCAGCAACCAAATCCCTCTCACTCCCAAGCTGGCACTATGAGAACACTTGTTTTCAAATAATTATTTTGCTACCAGGGAGAACTGATTAATGCATTAAGCCATCACTAATGCTGATTACATGTCAAATGATGTTATTAAGAAGCTCTTAAAAAATGAGTTCTAAAGGTATGAATAAACTGCATTTCCCCATCTAATTGTATGTGCCTGATATAAATAGAAACACATATTTGTATGGACATCTGCATGAGGCTGAAACTATGGAATCTGTACAACAATGAATCCCTCATTTTTAGTTGGGCAAAATATAGGAACATCAGGTTAAAAGATACCCAGGGACACCCAGCCAGTCTGGCTCAGTGGTTGAGCATCAACCCATGAACCAAAAGGTTACTGGCTCGATTCCAGGCCAGGTCATATGCCCAGGTTGCAGGCTCATTTCCCAGGGCAGGGCGATCAATTATTCTGTCTCATTGATGTTTCTATCTCCCTCTCCCTCTCCCTTGCTCTCTAAAATCAATTAAATATATGTATATATTTAATTGATTATATATATATATATATTTTTTTTTAATATTTCAGGAAGAAACCCCTCTACTCACAGTAAAATTTCTTACTACCCTTAGACAAATTCACTACATGTTGTACCTAAATATAGATCACCTTTGTTTTTACTTAACAAGAAGGAACCTCATTGTCAAATTGTTGTTGTTTTTTTAATATATTTTATTGATTTTTCACAGGAAGGGAGAGGGATAGAGAGCTAGAAACGTCAATGAGAGAGAATCATTGATCAGCTGCCTCCTTGCACAACCCCCTGGATTGGGGATATGCCCGCAATCAAGGTACATGCCCTTGACCGGAATCGAACCAAGGACCCCTCAGTCCGCAGGCCGATGCCCTATCCACTGAGCCAAACGGTTTCAGCCAAATTGTTTAATTATCTTATTATACTACTAAAGGTAAGAAACTCAGTTCGAAGCGCTGAGGTTTCCTAAAAGACAGCTTCAAAATAGTGCCAGATCGCTCCTTAAACATGGGGGAGACAATCGGCTTAAAAATGCATGGACACCCAGCTTTTACCACCAACTTCAGCCTCTGCTTTGGCAGTCCGAGATAGCTACAATATTCCAGCATTACCTGTTTCTCTTTTTCCGGTGTTCTCTGTTAGAATTCTCTGATTCACTACCACTGCTTGTGTTACAGCGCGAGCGGGACCTGAAGTCAAAATAAGAGCAAATGACATTTAAGACAAATGGAAAATTTTAGAAAGGTCCACATTGGTTCTTTGAAATTAATTCTGTAATAAAATTACTAACCCAAACATAAGTAGCACCCTCCCCCTGTCGGTGTCTCTATCCAGTCAGACATCTGAATGAGTCTAAAGAAGTGTGATTAGATTAAGGCCGATATCACTCTGCTCCCAGAAAGGACCAAAAAACCAAGCACTTGCAACAGAAATCTGACATAAAGCTATAAGCCCCTATGCTAAACCAAACCTCCACCCTTCATTGAGAGAAGCAAAGTTTATTTCCTCTCCCCTTGAACTGGTGCTGGTCCTGGGGCTGATTTTTCCAACAGAATGAGGAGGAAGGGAAACTCAGGCAGTTCCAGGATTAGCCCTTAACAGGCTGGTAGCTCCTGATTCCTCCCAGCCACCAGAGACCCTGGAGAGAGGCCCCAGGCCTCCAGTCCTTCTGCCAGGCACCAGACAGAAATAACCCAACTTCAGCCACCATCCAACTGCAGCTTTGTCTGAGACTAGCAAAGCTAACTAGAAAAACTTCCTGTTCACTCAACAGAATTATAAAAGAGGTATAGGTGATTGTTATTGCTTCCAAGTTTTAGAATAGCTTTCATGTAGCAGCAGATAATTGAGACAGCTCTTCTGAGATACACAGCTCTTCTGAGGAGCAGAAACAAGAGGAATTGCTAAGGGTGCTACAGAATGGAAGACCGAGAACCAGCCAACACCCACTTAAAGTTAAAGAACACATGGACGGCACTCTTAAAGCAGCCACTAATAAAACAAACAAGGAAGCCCCCCCCCCCCCCCCCCCCCGCCGCCTCAGTTCTGAGCTCTGCTAATCTGCTGATCTTTCCTCCTTCTCCCAGATCCTCCTTTCCATTTCATTTTTGTTGCTGTTTGTTTGTTTGTTTACCTCCTCCTTTGCTTTAGATCTGAGTCTTCACCACTGTTATGGGCTTTCCTACGGAAAACAAATAAATGAAGACATTAAGGAAAATAGAAAATTATCAGTTGACTAAGGAAAGCACATCAAAATGAGTTTCACTTCGCTTAATGTATATGCTGCATATTCATTCATTATCAAACATTTGAATCACACACATATGTCCATCCCTACAATAGGTCCCAGAAACAGACTACCCATTGGCTTCAAGAAACCAGCAACCTAGTGGAGGCTGTACATAGTCTGCAAATAAAAATACACAACATGTCTGTTAAATTCCATTCATCCAGTGACGTAGTCAGTCTGAAGTGTCAAGGTCTGCAATCCACCGCCAAATCCTGCCATCATCCGACATCCGCTCTCTCCTGGATGCCCTTCCCAACACCCTGGCTTCCAAGTGCCCTTGACCTTTTCTCTAATAATCTCTTCACAATAACTCAGCACCCACATCCTGGTCACACTTGGACTTTATCCTTTGTAAGCACCTCTAATCACTGCTCTCAGACCACAATCCCCTCTGCACCACCCGCCCCCCTTACCACTTCTATTTACTTTCAAACAGCTTCGGTGGGGTATCCTGCTTAAAATGTGAGGACTCTGGAGCCAGACAACCTGAATATGAATCCCATCTCCTTCACTGATGAGTTTTGATTTAAATTATTTCTCTATTTAGTGCCTCCCTTTTAACAGAACCTCCCACAAAGGGTTGTTATTAAGATAAAATGAATTAATACATTTAAAGTGTATAGTAGGATCTAGCCCAATGTGTACACTCAATGATTGTTAGCTGTTATTACTGCTCATTCAGCTACTTCCATTCTTCCTTTCTTTGACCTCAATAGAATTATTTGCCTATTGACTGTGTGACTATCCATCAGCTCTTCACTCCTTCATTCTCTCTCTGACTCAGCTTAGATTCTATCTCAATAATATGCATGCCAATACTGAAAACTTCCTGTCAGTCTTTTTGGCAAGACCCCAATCAACTATCCAGGTTCTCTGGACTACACCAAAACAGCTGGCTGACCAGTGCTGGAGAGAGTTACACAAAAAAGCACGTTAGTTACACTACAAGTCCATGTTCATAAACCTCAAGTGGATCCACAACCTGGCCCAGCAATGGTACTACCATTCTGTGATCTAAGTGCTCTGTTTCTGCAAAGCATTCAAGAGCTACATCTGCCCTGATCACAGTACAAAAAAATCCTACACTGAAAATAATCTTCCTTCAGCATTTTGAAGGTGATGCTTCATTCTCTTTTTTCTGATATTGCTGTTAAGCAGCCCAAGACCAGAATTCCTTTTTGTCACCATTTATTCATGGACTTTTCTTTTCTCTTCCATATTCCTCCCCTACTCCCAAATGTTAAAAAAAATTATCTCTAAATCTATTAGGTTTTAAAGTTTTATGATAATGGATCTTGGTTTGGATCTAATTGTTCAATCTATTATATCAAATGCTCAGCAGGTCTTCCATAAAGTAAGCTAATTCAGTTCTAAAATACTTTCTTGTACAACTTCTTTAATACTTCCCTCTTCTGAATTTCTTAAGGTTTTGCCCTAGAAATTTCATTAATCAAATGTTTGATATCCAGGTCGGATAATTTTTTATCTTTATTTATATATCTGTGCTTTGTTTTCACTCTACCCTGGTACTCTGGGGAAGATTTCCTTCACTTTATCTTCTAAGCCTTTTATTGATTATTTTAGAAATTCTGTCACATTAAAGTCTAAGAACTCTTATTCACTCTTTCCTTTTGATATCAGTTTCATTTTCCAAAGGATAACAATTATACTTTCATAAAAACTTTCTGTTTCTTATATTATATTGACTCTATTTCCTATGGGTGCTCCTGCACTCCCCTCCCCTCCACCACACACACACACACACACACACACACACACACACACACACACACACCTCTTAACTGTTTCTGTCTCTGTCTTTCCAAACAGAAATTATCCTCAAATGCTAGGTGATAATGACTCTCTCAAGCATTGTGTACTAAAGCTCTGGGTGGAGAGCATGCTAACGGATGGCTTCACTGTCATGTGGAACAAAGTAATGTGGGTAATCTCAGCCATTTCCTTGCAAAATCCTTGGGAAGTTTCTATCTGCAGATCTTTTCTATCCTTTCTCATGCCTGGAAGACACAAGCCTGGCTTCTAGCATTCTGGGAATGAAGAGAGAAGGGAGCCATTTAGTAAGCAGACTTTCACTCTCTTGATTTTTTCCGTGGCCACAAATTCTCTGTGTCTTTTACCAACTTAATACTCTTCTTCAACTATGCCAAATAAATGTTGGAGTTTCTCACAGGTCTGTCATTGGCTTGGTCTCTGCATTCCATCTATACTATACTACCTCTTCTGTATTTCATATTTCAATTATCATTTTTAAGAAATATATATTTTAGTCAAGACAACTAACCCACATCCAATAGTCCATGTAAATCCTGCACTTGGACTTCTCAAAGGAACCACAAATTCTACATACCCAAACCCCCAAAATTGTCCTTTTCAGCATGCAGTGTCCTGGTGGTTCTTATTCCAATGCATCATGCTTTAATCCATGAAACTGCACAAGCCTGGTCTTCATTCTTGACATCTTTCACTCCTTCACCCTCATGCTGGTCCTGCCGGCACTACTGATTCTACCTCTGGATGGGTTTCAAAACCACCAACTTTCTTGTCCACATCACCAGGCTGGCTCATGCTCCATTCTCTTTGGCCAGGACTCATATGATGGCCTGCTGCCTGGCCTGTTTCCACAGCTATTCCCTTCCACATCTTTCCCACAGAGCAGTAAGGACCACCTTTACACAACACAGATATGATCTTGTTATCATCCTCTCTGAAAACTGGTCTAATGACCAAAATCCTCAACAAAGCTCAGGTGTCTGATGAGGTGTGGCTCCACCTTTCTCTCCAGGCTCATTTCTAGCACTTTTCTGTTCACCCTCAATGCTTGAGCAACACTGGCCTTTATCCTTTTCATGAATGCCCCCCTCTCCATTCTATCCCAAGGCCTCACCATATACTAGGCCCTCTTCCTATTTGTTTGCTTTTATCTGATCCCAGCTCCAGCATCCAGCCTCAGGAACCCTTCCAACCTCTTAACAACACAGCAAAACTTCCCCTAATAGTGCGGGTTACACATGTGTTTGGATGACAAATGTTTATCAAGCAGATATTCCTAGAACAGACGTACTTTTCTATATGCATTTTTCAATAAAAAAGTTTTTAAATTTCCCTAAGCATAACTTCCCCCTGAAGAACATATAACAGTCATAACTGCACACTTATTTGTAATTTGTATGTTTCTTCCAACAAATGATAAACTCCCAAAGGTCAAAGATTTTCTCTAATGCTGTTTAATACAGCGCCTGGCATAAAGTAGGAACTCTAAACATTTTTAATATAAAGATAAATGGCGGTAAAAATAAATTGTACTGCCAGAAAGCATGCTGGTTTTCTTTTTCTAAAATAGGAATGTTTAAACACACAGGCATTAGGATCTCCATGAACCTTGACATATAAAGAAGTTTGTATGTGTATTCAATAATACAGCCTTTCCCCCTAGGGAATGAATCCAACATTGCATCAGATTCTCAGAGTTCTAGCACCCAAAAAGGCTGAGACCAATGTTCTAGACTCTGCCAGAACTTGACAGCTGTACTCATCTAATGACAAATGACTGGCAAAATGTGAAATTGTGACATCTTCTGCAAAACATGTTACCCTAGTGTCCATTACAAAAGAGAATTTCCTATTATTAAATTTAAATCCTTGAGATTCTTCCATGCTGATGACAAATCTCGGTTTTAAATGTCAGAGTTAATCCATGTCTGTAGGGATTTGTGCCCAGGGGCAAAGTAAATATATGTGAAGATAAAACAAGACTAACAAGGACAGGGACATTTAAAGGGCATTTATAGTGAAAAAACAACAACGAAGAATGAGCTTTGGCTCAGTCATGCTGACACGAAGCAATGGCTGGTCTCCTCCAAACACAACATGCTGAATATGAGATCTTTTAGGTGACACAGAACCAGACAGAAGGCTTTACGGTGCTCAGACTGAATCCCAATGGTCTTTCCCACGGATGGAGCCTATGAAAGGGTCCTGTAACCACACCACAATTGCTTCTCTGTGTTTCGCTGGAAGCCAACAGAAAATGTATCTCAGCACAGAGTCATTAGTCTGGATTTGAGAATGTATATGCTCCAAACTATTTCAAGCATTTAGTTTGAAAAGAAATGTAAAGTTTGGTGCATTTTAGCAAAACTTGATAAGTTCATTTTTGAACATATTAAAATCAAAATGGCCATTTGCTCAGCATGTGCAATTCTTTTAATGTAGGAAATGACCAAGTACACTAATAATTAGGAATGAAAAACTGTAAAAACTTACCTAACAATAATCAGATGATGCCAAATTCTTAATGTATTTAGTGAAACCGACTATCCCCATCCCTCAGCCACATATATACATAAATGTATTTTAAAAGTATTTCCCAGGGGTGGTGCCATGTTTTTTAGTTGTCTGAATTGAACCAATCCTTGGTGGGGAAGTAGGGGAGAAAAATCTTTCCTCCTGCCTTACTGAAATGATGGTCCATTATCCTGGCCTTTTCCAGATGTACAGCCCTGGATCCAAATCCCAAATGTGTTACAAAGGACAGTTCCTGCCATCTCCCAGAGCCACTTTTTTTCTCTGTAGAAGTGAGATGATAATGCTGGGCCAGGCCTGTCCACTGGTACTCAGCCCTATCCCAGCCCATCTATAATCTTCCCTGGAGTGCCAACACTAGACAGCTGACAAGTGCATTTTCTTGGACTGTTTTGCCAGCAGGGTTCCACTTAGAGACACTCAGGTGAGATTTGAAGGCAGGGGGAAAGGGGAGGCAATTGTGCTTCTGGCAGTATTGTAGCACCACTCGTGCACTCCTGAGAAGTGGGGTTCCACAGCATCAGCTACGGTGGTGGCACCTCCGAGTGGCAGCCAGCAATGCCAGAATCCAGCACAGGCTCTTGGGAACCTGCTCAAAGGCAGAAGCAGCTCTGCATCTCTGGGGAGCACCCCCTTGTCTCCTTTCATTCCTCCAGCCCAGGGACAGGACAGCATTCAGACCTCAGAGCTGTGCCATGTCTCTGCCTTTTCGTTCCTTTAATCCTACTCATATTTGTGCACCAAAATTCCCTGCATTAATCCCTCTCTGCTGAACATGTCTCGTGACAGAATGATACAAATGCCCATTTCTGAATGGTTATTATAAAGATAAAATGAGCTAATATACAGCAAGCAAAGTGCTCAGGACTTAGAACATGAAGAATGCCAACTAGTATTCCATTATTCTATCTAATCACTATTGGTCATGATATCTCTCCCCCTTTCAGCCCTACTAGGTGAGGGTGACAGAGACCTTTCTCAGCTTAACCATCAAAGGATTTCAGTAAAGTTGGACCTGGTTGGAGAAAGCTGGGGAATACAGTCTGGGAAACTGGCAGAAGTTGAAGGAATGAGACAGGGATGGACCCACAGGTTAAGTATAAACAGGACTGAGAAGACAGAAGGGCCTCTGCTTTCCAGACCCACCATGTATATAAAAGAAATGCTGATGGTTATCTGAGACCGTGACCTGAATGTCTCATAATTATAAAAGTCACTCATAAAATACCACTTACATAGATACCCAGGGCAAAACACAGTCATATCACATAGGAATGAAGTGGATTTCCCCAGAGAGTCATTTCTTAGGTCTTCCTCTTCTGGACCTGCCTCACTGCCCACCCTGCTTTGCAAAAAGAGTCCTAAACATATAGATACAGACGTTTATAAAAAAAATCAAAACAACAATGCGGTACCATCTCACACCTGTCAGAATGGCCAACAGCAACAAATCAATAAATGACAAGTATTGGCGAGGTTGCAGAGAAAAAGGAACCCTTGGGCACTGCTGGTAGGAATGCAGACTGGTGCAACTACTGTGGAGAACAGTATGGAGCTTCCTCAAAAAACTGAAAATGGAACTCCCATTTGACCCAGTAATCCCACTCCTAGGAATATATCTCAAGAAGCTAGAAACACCAATCAGAAAGGATATATGCACCCCTATGTTCGTAGCAGCATAATTTACAATTGCTAGGATTTGGAAACAGCCTAGGTGTTCATCAGCAGAGGATTGGATAAAAAAAAAACTATGGTACATCTACACAATGGAATATTATGCTGCCATAAAAAAGAAGAAGTTCTCATTTGCAGCAACCTGGATGGAATTGGAGAACATCATGCTGAGTGAAATAAGCCAGTCAATGAAAGAGAAACACCACATGACCTCACTCATTTATGGATAATAAAGAACATTATAAACTGATGAACCAAAAGATAGATATAGAGATAGTAAAGCAACAAGCAGACTGTCAAATTACAGTGGGGAGGGTAGGGAGATCTGAGGAAGATAAGGGATCAACCAAAGGACTTGTACAACCAATGGACACAAAACTCTGGGGAGGGAGGGCATATATAGGAGGGGGGGCAATGGTATATGTACAGAGATAATAATTTAATTTAAAAATTTTAAAAAATTAAATAAAATAAAAATTAAATAGCACACACATTACATGTAACCACCCAGTCTAACCTGCTGGGCAACACAATGCATTTTCTCTGCACTTTGAAAGGAGTTTTAATCACATTTATACAACAATATCAGCCTGAGAGCAGAGGACACAGCTTCATTTGCAATTAATCTATAATGTAATGTTGTCTTCTCAGGTTGAAACGTTTAATGTCTATGTACTAATGTATGTCATTGACATAACATGTTACATAATTTATTACACATACTATATAATATGTATGATTAAAGTATATCATATATGTATTTTTCAACTTATCAGTCTTAAGTACAATTCAGAAAGCAAGTTCCTGTTAATATTTTTGAAATTATGCTCTGAAACTCTGGCTGTTTAAGAGAAATGCTCCAGGACCCTTGGCCTATTTTATTTATCTCAGAAAATTCAGGCTTTCTGCTATCCTGAGGAGACAAACAGTCTTGATATCATGAGAATAACTGTGATTGGGACCAAAAGTTAAACCAGGGGCTGTGCTCAGCCTACCTTCTCCTTGTTGGCTGGACAGAATCGTCGCTCCCACAGGAGGGGTTCCGACGGCGTGCACAGGGAAACTTGGGGGACTTGGTGCGGTCATGGGGAGAGTTGTAGAGTCCGCTAGGGAGAGAGAGGAGTGGTCGGTAATCCCTGGAGGCCCTGGAGGAGCAAGCACCCTAACCCCAGACCCCAGTGGTCCTAGGGAGTTGTCATGACTGCACAGTTGGTACTAGCAAGGGAATACTAGACCATGAGCAAATGATCTTTTTGCTGACAAGATATACTGGCAGAAAAGAGGGGTAAAATTTGGTAAAACAAATCATAGAGGTCATTATTTTGCAAGAATGGATTTTTTCCTGGTGGCCTTCAACAGTGAGAAATGAAAAGACACAAAGGACAGCAATACTTACAACAACGGATTGCATTTATGATGAGCCTACCACCTGCCAGGCACTGACCAAGCTCAAAACGTTGTACTCATTATCTTAGGGAATAGTCATATTAACCCTAAGCACCGAAGTAACAATTATTAGGCCCATTTACAATAATAATAATAATAATAATAATAATAATAATTAATAATAAGAGAAATACAGAATATTTCCTCCATGTAGCTGGAAAGTACAGAACTAGGATTTGAACCCCTCGATAGTCACACCCAAACCCACCATCACGATAAGTCCAGGAAGTTACAACGCAAGTACGTCGCTGCTTTGATAGTTATGAACCAAAGAAACTAAATATGTATCTTTAGGAGTGAAGGTCTTCTAGACTCACTCTTCATCAGCTACTGTTTTCAGCTCAAGTTCTTACAAGAACTGTGAAATTGGAGGAAGTATCATTAATACATTTCCTTTAGAGTTTTCCGAAATACATCATCTCACTCTAAACCGTCACGAAGACCTTCCAAGGAGTTTCTGAATAGACACTGGTTTCCTCTCTGTCTTTCCAGGAGCGAGCTCCAGGATGGGACACATCCTGTTGTTGATCTCTACTTCAGCAGCTCCCGCTGACGTGGGAATCTGACTGCCTGGTCCGGAGCTAGTCCTGACCTGCCACAAAGCAGGTGGGTTCTAGTCTTTGACAGAGGCAACTGCTGACCCCTTCCCTATTGTCCTCCCTGAGAAAAACCAAGATCCCCTTACCTCTGGGGGCCATTTTCTTCCCACGGTGCATGAGGTTTGCTTCTTTGGATATCAGGACTATTTTCATTCTTTGCTTTCTTAAAGCTTTAATTTAAAAATAGAAAGAAGTGTGAAAAACAAAGTAACTAGAAAATAAAAGGAAGTTAACTCACACACTATTTCTTCAGTAAAATTATTTAACGAGCGTTTAAAAACGTGTGTTTATTTATACCCGTGACTCATTCCAAAAAGAATAGGAAGTGGCTGCCTAAAAAAATACATGTCTGCAGCAAGGACTTTTGTGTCTTCCCCCCTCTTTTTCTTTCTGGTTTTACTGCTCTAAGTGAACGGGAGCCGGGCCATCCATTGTTAAGAAACTTTCAAGAGAGTCCACCTGCAGGACAGGGAGCTGGAGCAGCCAGGCTGGTATGGGACCCCAGGCTCTGGGTGTGGGTCTGAATCTGTGCAGGGCAGTCGGCTCTGAGCAGGTTCAGGCTGCCCCCACTGACCTTTCCCTGCCCCCCGCTTCCGCCTTCCTTGGCATCATCCTTCCAAATCAGAATGACTTTCAATGCTATTTCCTGACCGAGTGTCATCTTTCTGCCCTAAGAATGTAAATATATCTGAGTTGTTATTCCATCCCAACAAATTGTTTTAGAAACACGGGGGAGACACCAGGAAGGGACGAAGCCTTCGTCACCATCCCGGGGGTGTGTGGGGGATTGGAGTGGGGGAGGCGAGAGTGCCTCCCCTTACTTCCCGGGAGTCTCAGCTTCCAAAAGAGAGACTGTTTCTGAACTCATGCACTTTAACCCTGGCTCTCTGAGGAATCCTCTACATACTGTCTTCAAATGTGGTCATAGCAGGGTTCTTTATAGTAGCCAAGAAAAAAGGAGAGGGGAAAAAAACTGACAAGGTCATTTCAAAAAGTGAGAATAAACTTGCACCCTGGGATATTATAACCACGCAGGAATATAAATCTAAAAATATATTTGACGAAAGCACATCACTCATAGTATTAGTAGGTAGTAAGTAGGTTTTATATAGGAAAGATGTGTTCTTTTTGGAAAGGTTAAAAACCTTTGGAAGATCAAATTTCCAAAGTAAAAGCTTCCTTTTGAAATGAGGCAATGTAATAAATATGCTAGATATTTAAGACAGCAGTGGGATACACGCGTGTTTAATAAATCAGGAGAAAAGGCGAGATGAGACAAGGGAGACTGAGGAAGGGAGTAGCGAGATGAAGGGGGAATTGGGAGAGTAGGCGGAAGTTAAAGAACAATGACATCCTGGGTGGTGAATTAACTACATTCACTCCCTAAACTATTTCTCATCTAAAGCTTGAGTGGGAAAATTCTGGCAGCCCTTTAGGTATCTGTCCTTGGCAGGAATGCAATTACAAAGGGGATTGAACTGCTTCTATACATTCTAAAAAGCTTGGGATCTGAATTTCATGGAAGATTACTGATCTTCTGTTAGACTTCCCACCGCACACCCTGTACATACAGATTAAGCTGACTCTGTCCACAGCTGTGAGGCTGATTAAGGGAAGCACAGTAAGCTAAAGCGTCTGCAAGGGCAAAGAGCTTGTCATTCCAAAGCGAGAATCTGTAGGGAGTGTTTAGAAACTAAGCAAATGGAAATGAAATAAAAACTCTGGGGGGAAAAAACCATTGCAACTCTGAGGAATCCTCACAATTTGGAATTATTTTGCTGGAAATTATAGACAAGCAGTCACAATCCGACTGAATGAAGACCCCCTTATTCACTAACAAAGACGGAGCAGGTGACCTCAGAAGTCTTTCCAGATCACGCGTTTCTGACAGCTTGGACCTCTCTGAGATGTGTGGGCAGCTGTCTCCAGAGAGAAAGCGAGGGGCTGAGTGCTGCTCAGTGTACATCTGAAACGCTGTCCCCCGAACATCATTGGAAATGGGGAAAAAGGACACTGAAATGGCGTGTTAGAGAACAAGGCTGATCGTTCAGGGAAACAGTCCATGTAACATGGCGAGAGAAGGTTTTTCCACTGGGAAATGCTGCTGGGAAAATGGACGCGAGGACCATGACCACGCTTCATACATATGCAATCACTGCCTTCTGCAGCCCGCGCCTCTCAACGCCCTAAGCCCGCTTCCCGGGGCCACAGCCCAGTGCACCGCCGTAATGAACACAGTACATTAAACATGAATATCATCCCCTTTATTTCACAGGTCCGTCCAAGTTAGTCCATCACATCGCGCTATTTAAAAAAAAAAATCACATGGACTTTTCACTCTGCTGCCGAGAACGCCGACCCCCCCGATTACCTCTGAGAGCGGCAGCGTGCTGTGACAGCAGGGCTTCCTTCAAACGAGGCAGGCAGGTTCTGAGGTGGCATAACTCACTGGCATTTTAAAATATGCTTTGGCCCCAGACTATTTTGATGGACAGGACTACTGAATTACCACAGTGAAGGGATTCGTCACCTTGCTCTCAGGAAAATTCATCTCTGTGACAATATACAGTGTTAACATTCCTTCGGGTAATGGACTGACCTTTTTATTGGTGAAGGTGCAATAATTTTAGTTGTTCCTTCATTTTCTCCATTCTCCGTGTTTGCAGTTACCTGGTTTATGCTGTTTGATCCTAGGAGCAAAGAAAGAGAAGATGTCAAGATGGGAGAGAGAAGGACAAAGTGATCAGGAAAACACAAAGAAGCAAAAGAGTTACTTTAAAATGCAATTTTAGGGCTGCCATGGCACATTGTGCTGATAAATTACAATTCCAAATAAATAATAAATCAACCAATAAATCTGAGGTGCTATTTTATGGATGAAAAAAAAAAAAAATCAACCCTCAATCCTCAACATAACCATGTCCTATGGGGTCTAGACCCTGACACCTCTCCAAAATGGTGAGGTGCCACTTAAAGAGTTAACACCCTGCATCATGAGAAAGTCTTTGCTTTTGACTGTTAAAAATAAGATTCTAATATCCTTAGTGCTATACCTTGAAATATATAAAGTAAAAATTGATGAATACATTGTAAAGAAGTTACATTTGTTGGCATGCCATGATACCTCCCAATCTAAAACACACAACACATTTTTAAACTGAAAATATGAAAATATCCCAACTCATTAAATGGCAAAAATATAGTATTGATGTGATCTGTATCACTCACTCACATACACTCACACACAAAAATGTTTTCAAATATGTTTGTTCAAATATCCTAAAAGCCTAAAACTTAACTGTAAAAGCTTCTACTCCACGAATTTGCATATATGCTAAGTGGGCCAGCAGAGGGAGCCCCCAGCAGATGTGATGGAAATCAGGATTCAAATGGAGCTAAGTGAAAGGGCTAAGCCCGTTAGGAAGTCTAAACTCCATTCTCAGGACAGAGGCTGATAAGCCTGCAGTGACACACACCTCACTGGGTGGTGCAGGGGAAACCAGTGAAGGAATGCGGAGTCCTTGCTCAGGAAACTCTGTGCCGTACAGGTGTGTCCACCTCTGAGAGGCATCTTGTAGGGGGACAACCACAGTTGGATAATAAGTGTCATCACCACTAGCCACAAGTGGTTCTTGAGTCATGAGATGAACCTGTAATGCTAATAAGGGCTAATATTTATTGAGCACGTACTACTTGCTAATCCAAGCACTTCATGTCTCTTTATTGATATAATCCTCAAAATAATCAAGTAAGTAAATATTAATGTTATCCCAAGGCCAAATAAGCTGTGGGCCTTTCCCAAGGTCCCACAGCTTATTTGGGGGTGGAGGTGGGGGAGTGGAGAAGGGCTCTTTGAAACCCAGCAGTGTGGCCCCAAAACAGCTCCCCACCACACAGCCTTCCATGTATGCTCTGCGCCCCACCCTCATGTAGTTAGAATGTCCTTCTAAATAAAGGGTCCACTAGGAGACAGACTCTCTAGAAAACAAGTGGAAAGAATGTCCAATGAAGAGAACATCCTATCACCAACGAAGAGGAGAGTTTTTTCCCTCCAGGGCAACTGAGACAGGAAGACCACACTGAGCATGCCCACCCCAGGTGGCAATTCCTTACCGAGCAGTTTGTAGGCACACGGGTGGACTACCCATCAGGAAAGGCAAACATAATGAATAACCCCAGCAAAAGAGGCAACCAACAGTGGTTTCAAATAAAGAGGTCCAAAAACTACTATCCTAAGGAATTTGACATGAACTCAACACCTGATGTTGGTCCCTATTTTGTAACCCTGAAATGGGAAGGTGAGCCTGAAGATTAGTCATAATTTTCACATGCACAGCATAAACGAGTTAAGCTACTGTTAGTAATACATCCTAAGTCATGGTTCTTTATATTGAAAACAGTGGACTACTAACAACAAATCTGTTTATTCACATTCCCCTACTCTATAAGTCTGTAAAGTGGACAATCTTGGGTTTTAAAAGCTTTATGAGGAAAATAGACTTACAGAGGGAATGCTATTTTTAAGCAATAACTTACTGGGAGCACTTATGAAGTATCCATTCATATAACAGTCAGATGCAAAATAAAAATTATTCTTTTCTATTCAGCAGTATAGGTTTCTTAAAAATCCTTAATTAGGTGATGCTTACGTTACTAAAGATGCATTTAGAAGTAATAACTATACTCTTAACACTGTATTTTAATCATCTTCCTAATTAAGTTAAATTAGTGAGATTCCCCCCATACCACCATTTAAATAGAGAGCTAAGCAATTCAGTAAGGCTAGGCTGTGTCTTGGTTACTGGAATATGAAAGGGTGGGAAATATAGGTTATGCATTATTTCAGTTCACTGACATCCATTGCCAACTTTTTCTCCCCTCATCATCCCTTCCACATTAGCTCAGGTTCTTGGGCTACAGAGAAGATGTGATCTGACAAGGGCTCATGTCTTCATGCATTATTGGCCATAGACTAGTTACATTTCAAAGAGGAAAAGGAGAAGCCAGGTATTAACTAAAATGACTAATAACAATGGAATTTAAGCTATTCCAGGAGGTATTTTGAGGCTGAGGCAATCTTTTCCCCTCCATTCCTTTCTCATTGTAAATTATAACTGATCACTGACATGAATGTATCACACATATATGAACAGTTTAATAAGCTATTATAAAGTGAATGGCTGCTTAATCACTGCCCACCTCCAGAAATACAACAATGAGCCATTTTCCTACACACCACAAACCACTCTCTTTGGGGCAACTACTTCTTTTAGATAAAGTCCAAGAGTCAGTTTCTAAAATACCTAGAAGCAGAAAGCATTATGTTTTCATTTCATAAAATATGCATAACAGACACAATAAAATTATTTTTTAAAAATTTAATAAAAGTTAATAAGGCTTCAATCTTTTCATTGAGGTACAATTCACATATAACATTATGTTAACAACATACGGTTTTCATATTTGTATACACTGTGAAATGATCATGTCTGGTTAACATCCGTCACCACACATAATGACAATTTTTCTTTCTTGTGATGAGAACTTTTAAAATCTACTCTCTTAACAACTTTCAAATATGCAATAAAGTATTGGTAACTATGGTCACCATGCTGTACGTTACGTCCCCATGACTTACTTTTTTTTTTTTTAATTGATTTTTTTTTACAGAGAGGAAGAGAGAGGGATAGAGAGTTAGAAACATCGATGAGAGAGATCAGCTGCCTTCTGCACACCTCCTACTGGGGATGTCCCTGCAACCAAGGTACATGCCCTTGACCAAAATCGAACCTGGGACCTTTCAGACCGCAGGCCCACCCTCTATCCACTGAGCCAAACCAGTTAGGGCAGACTTATGTATTTTATAAGGCCTCAAAGTCACAATAAAACGAAGGACACGCCACTGTGCCCTCTCTCCCATGACTGACAGCACAGTAGTAAGTTTTCAATGAAGGTCCATTATTGTAAAGGTTGTTTTTTTTTGTTTCTGCTATTTTTTCCACTAGAAGGGGAAATTTCAGGATAAGTATGTTATGTTTAAAAAGTGTCAAAAGATGAAGAAAAAAAAAACCCAAACCTGGTAGCATGGGAAATGCAGGACAAGAAGACATGCAGGACAAGGGGACATGTGCCCCATTCTGCAGGAGAGGCTCCTTTCGGTGTGGCCTTGTGCTGCAGGGCACTGCTCTTGTGAATGATAGTCACCGATGGTCTATAACCAAGATTCGTTATTGACATGCGATTATCAAAGCTCCTTAGAAAATGTATATTTTATTTTAGATAAAATGAAATAGTAACTGTAGCAAGGCCGTTTAGAATTAGTCAGGAGCATACGATTCATTTTATATATCGTTCACATTAAAAACACAAAGGACTTCATTTCAAGAGGCTGCTCCCATTGGGAAGAATACGTTTATCAGGGGACTGTTATAGTTAATTAAGGAGGCAAATCTAGCTCAGGAACTGTGATCATTTTTGTGTCTGGACTGTTATCACCACAGCTTCCTAGGGGCCCACACAATTCCCTACAGTTGTGAAGACACTGCAACGCCAGTGTCCAATGTTCCAGGGTCTCTTTGTTTGTTCATTTTTTCACAGCCTAAATGCAAATGCTTTCAACCCATGTGCATCGTACCTCTACTAGGCTTTTGTGTGGTTTGGCCCAGCTCACATTTGACCTTGGCCTTCGGGTCAGGAAGAGGAGCTGTCAGAAGCAGATCAACTCTCCCAGGGTCTATTAGCGGCTTGATCTGGGGGCAGTTCTCAAAAGTCATCTCTGTGATGTCAAGATTTGGTGATGAACATACATGGATTTTCAATTATAAAACCACTTTGCATTTATATAGTTATAAGTCTCACAAAATGTATAGCCCAGTTTGACACATGTCAACCTAAATTAAATCTTTGATGCTATCTAAATGCTGCCACTGATTTTAATTTACAAAGTGGACATGGAGGATAAATATGTGACATTTAAATTAAATAAATTTATATTTGCAAGTAAGAATGCCTTATTTTGTTACATGGGGGAAAGGACAAGTAGCCAATAAGAAAAGCAAGATTATAAATAATTTCATTTAAAGAACTCTATAATATGATACATTTGTAAATTTTATCTTACTTAATCACATATCTTCTCTTCTTTAAACTTAAAAAGAAAACAAATAAACAAACAAAAAACAAACCCTCTATTATCTGATGCTTGAAACAAATAACAAACAGCCAGGACAATTACAGCGGTTCCCAATAAAACAGATGGTTATATTTCAGTTAAGCCAATCTGATTTGATGTTATCTAACCCAGTACAACTTCTCAGAAGAAACTTGATATTCATGAATTAAGAATGAGCTAATAAATGGAAATATATTTTAGCTCTATTTCTCACACTGACAGTACAAAGTCACTTTGCCTTGGTTTCAATTGACTTTAGACTGAGTTTTATAGAAAAAAAATGGCATACGGTATAGCAAATTTAAACTAATATTTTTCTAACACCACAAATTATGATCAAAAGGAAAATCTTCAAGAAAATCTTACATATATATATTTGTGTGTTTGTGTGTGCGTGTGTGTATATATTATATATATTATATATATAATATATATATAATATATATATATTTTTCCTATCATCATGAACTTGGCAGAACACTTATTCATTTAGGTAAACCAAATTGAATTTCCAAATGC